GGCCCGGATAGGCATTGTTATCAAGTGCTATCTCTTTGCGGCTTCTGTCTCTGATCACTAATGAGTCTGAGTGTCTCCTTCTGGGCACATGAACTGGTGACGTGCTTGGTTTCTGCTGATTGTCTGCTCTCATTCTTGATGATTCTTTCCATAAAGTGCCCATCTTCTCCTTTTTGCAAGTAGCCTGTGTTTGTCCGGGTTGGCTAGAGAAACAAATTCATAGACACTTGTATGTATGCAACAGAGACTTTATATCAAAGAGTAATTGTATATGAAGAGAACATCCCAACCCAGTCCAGATCAAGTCTCTAAGTTCGATGTTGGCCCATACCAGTCTATAAATTCCTCCTTAGACTCATGCTGCCATGCAATGATGCCGAGTGCAGGAAGATCACAGGCCACTGGGTAGAAACCCTTGTGGATCTGGTGGCAGTAGGACCAGCTCAGTGCTGGTGTGGGTCTCCATGTGGCTCTTCCAGCTCCAGGGCTCTAGCGTAGCTCCATGTGTCTTGTCATCAGGAATACAAAGCAGAGAGCGTGTGTGTCCCGCCTCCAGGGAGGAAGAAAGGAGCTCTCAGAATCCTCAGGAGAAGGCCATGCCCACACAGAGCCTCATTGGCTAGGATCTGATTGACAGGCTAGACTTCACCCCTTCCCAAGTTGACAGGAGATGATGTAACTGCTACAGAGCCTTGGTGGTGGCATAGTGGTTATGTGTCGGGGTGCTAACTGCAATGTCAGTGATTCAAAACCACTAGCTGCTCCATAGGAGAAAGACAAGGCTTTCTACTCCCAGGAAGAGTTACAACTTTGTCAGTAGATTCCCCCAATGACGCAGGCTAGACCTGATCTGGTTCCCAAATGTTTTTGTATTTTTTGGTGTGTGTATTAGTCTAGGTACTAGAGAAACAAATCCACAGCAACCCATGTATAAGAGAGTTGTATGTAAAGAAAGTGTGCATATGAAAACATCCCAACCCAATGCTGCCCAAGCCCACAAGTCCAACATTAACCCAACACCAGTCCACAAAGTCCTCCACCTCACAGAACAGAGGCAATGATGCCAACTGCAGGAGGAAAGCTGAATCAGTGAATGTGTAAGCATCTCAGCACTAGCAGGGGTCTCCACACGGCCGTTCCAGCACCCAGGGCTGCATCGGGGTAGGTCCATAGGGCTTCTCCTTGGGGATGTCTTGTAGGAAGTCAATCTTGCAAGCTGAAGCAGGGAACTGCTAAGGCAGCTGCACCCTGGTGCGACCATCACAAAGCAAGAGACCCAAGAACTAGAAAGGCGAGGCTCACCACCCATTTATCCCTCTGCCTTTCAATTAGCCCCACATGTGTTTATCGGCCAGGTTGGCACAATTAACTAACTCAGTGTGTGTTGTGTGGTTTTTGTTCGTTCAGGGGAGAGTGTACCTCCGAGGTGTGATGTCAATGGAGGTCACCCTCTTGAAGCTGTGTTGTCTGATTTTCTGTTTTTTGGTCCATGAAACCCAGGATCAATGAACCTATAGGGACAGCAAGTAGAAGAAGGGGTTCGAGGGGAGGAGGGGACCGTGGTGGTGGTGGGGTAAAGGGGAGATGATGTGAAGGAGTGCATGCAGAGAAAGAATGGCGGGAAACTGTGGTTGCCATTGTATAAGTCTACATGACACGATTGAACTATGGAATGTTACATGTATTGAATCCAGCTTAAAAAAAAAAAAAAAGGACAGTCTCAGAAACCCACAGGGGCAGTTCTACCCTGCCCTATAGGGTCGCTAGGAGACGGAATTGACCAGATGACAATGAGTTTGGTTTTGGGGTTTTATTACGTTGGATCGATAACTGCAAGGCCAGTGGTTCAAATCCACCAGCTGCCCCTCAGGAGGAAGAGGAGGCTATCTGTCCCTGTAATGATTTACAGCCTCGGAAACCCCATAGGGGCCCCCACTATATGTCAGACTTGACTCAGCGGTGCTGGGTTCGATCCGTTTGTTTGGATTCGGTGTATAAGGAACCATGGTGCTGCAGCAGTGGGTTAAGCAGTCGATCATTGGAACAGCCAGCGGCTCCATGGGAGAAAGCTGAGTCTGTCTGCTGTCGTGAAGAGGTTCAGTCTCAGAAGCCCACGGAGGCAGTCCCACCCTGTCTGATATTCGCTGAGTAGCAGTGGGGTGCTGGCAGGGAGTGAGACTTGCTCTCTTAGCAAGTGATATGAAACCCATTTCCGTGGCTCATTCTCTCTGAGAGCTGTCTTCTGCCTCCTGGGTCCACTTGCCTGTTCTTGTGCTTTGCCCCGACTTAAGACGACAACAACAACGAATCCACCATGGCTCAGTTTGGCACCATGTCTTCACAGCTTGTAGGGCAAGGCACGTATTTCTGGCACTGCCCAGCCTTCTCCGCTTACATCACCTTGCAGCAAATGCTCAGGTGTTCGTCTCCACCCTCAGTGGGAACTGTTTGCAGACGTCGGCCCCCTCCCTGTTCTGGCATCACCAGCCACACTGGGTGAGAGAGTGTCCACTCTGATCCAGGAGGTTAAGTCCAGCCCGGTGGGAAACTGAGGACCGGGAAGAGACTGCCCATGGACAAACGCCCTACGCTCATCTGTAAGGAGCCTGGGAGGCAGAGTCTGGTGGAGGGAGGCCTGCCTGCCTTGGAGCTGGGGGTGCAGCCCAGTCACCTTCTCCTAAGTAGAGGTCATTACCCACAATGCCCCCCTGTAATAATGCCAATTTTCAGGTGCTGCTTGCAAGGGCATGGTTGCTACTACAAGCTTGAAGGTTACACTTGAAGGTTAACTGCATGAAGGCTGTCTGCTATCAGGAGCCATCAGACCACCCCACCCTAAGTACAGCCCACTCCCTTCTGATAAGGATCACAGATTGCTTCCCTGGAGAGAAGCTCAGGGACACTTAAGATCAAGTCAGCTCAGAGATGACCAAGGTTAGGCTACCATCTTGACTCTAGAACCCACCCACCTTGTTACACATGTGCCTTCCTGTCAGGTGTCTGCCCTAGCACCTCCTCTTCCTGTCAGGTGTCTGCCCTAGCACCTCCCCTTCCTGTCATGTGTGTGTCCCCAGCACGCTTCCTTCCCTTCCTGTTCCATGTAGGTCCTTAGCATGTCCCTTCCTGTTAGGCATGCTTACTGGGCTTGTATTCCCGAGATGATATAAGCCTGTGACAGAATGCATTCGCCCTCTCTCTTGCTGCCACGGAAGAGGGGAGCCCTTGCCTGTCTTGTCTGACATCCTTTTCATTTACCGTCAATTACACAACCACCCCCTACGACCCATCCGGTTCTGGAGACTGGTCCCCTGTGAGAAACAGAAAGATTTCTCTCAAGTTGTTTCCCCCAAATATGTGTCAAACTTAGCTGCTTGCTACACGTGGTAAATGACTATACACTTGCAGGTCAAGAGAAGTAGGTCGGGTTATTCTCCCTAAGGGATATCAGTCATCTAGAGCAATCAGACTGTATAGTCTGTCCCATCCTAAGTAGGGCCCACTCCCTTCTGATAAGGATAGTATGGTAGTAGATTGTTTCCCTGAAGGAGAGCCCAGGGAGGTCTAGCCCACTCAAGGGTGACCAACGTTAGGCCGCCATCATGAATCTAGGGTCTGCCCATCTTGTCACATGTATCCCCTTAGTCCCTCCCCTTCCTATCAGGCATACACTAGCTCATCCCCTTCCTGTTACACCTATGCCCATTGCACCTCCCCCTCCTATTGCGTGTACAGCGAACCCTCGCCACTTCGCGCTTCGACTTCCACGGCTTCACTCTATCGCGGTTTTTGCGTAACAGCACCCACTGCCTACACCCGCTCCTTCAGAGGAAAAAGACGGCGACCCACCTGTAGAGTACATCCCTTAAGTCATTTCATAGGCTATTGATGACAGTATTTGTAAGAACTATGTATAATAATACTGTATGTGAAATATGTAATACTGTAAACTAGATGCCATAAATAAGATAATAAATAATAAATGATCATTGTAACGTCCAAAATGTTTTACTGTATTTTCCCTTTTTCGTTTAATAAATTGGGTAATACGAGTGTCATGGTGACTAAAGGGTGTTTTTTCATGTCCTCTATGCTCTAACTACGAAAATATTTGATTTACAAATAAGGAAACCTACTTTGCGGAATTTCATTTATCAAGGTAGGGTCTAGAACCGATTAACCGCGATTAAACGAGGGCTCACTGTACATCATTTTCTGTCAACTTGGGAAAGGGTAGAGTCTAACCTGTCACTTAGGTTGCAGCTTGATGACCTCATTTGGAGGCTCTACGGAGGTAAGGAGCTCACTGGAGACCGGATGCACTTTCTCTCCCTGTTGACAAGCCGCATGAAGCTACACTGATGCAGCCAGCGCTCTGAAGCTGGAGGAGCCATGTGGAGACCCACACTAGCCGATGAGATGCTTCCACCGCCACTGGATCCACAAGACTTCCCGCCCACTGGCCTGTGATCTTCCTGCATTCAGCATCATTTCATGGCTGTGTGAGTCTAAAGAGGCATTTATGAACTAGTCATGACATATGGTCTAATATCGGACTTGATCTAGCCTGGGCTAGGATGTTTTCTTAATGTACAATTGCTCTTTGATATAAAGTTCTCTCTTATACATATGAGTGTCTCTGGATTTGTTTCTCAAGTCCACCCAGGCTAACACATTTTATTCATATCTATCACAGCATTCCGTAGTTCAACCACATGGAGCAGAATTGGACCAGTGCTACCACCATCAAGTGCACCTCTTCGTGATGCGATTGAACTATTGGAGTGTATGACATGTGGATAAAGTCCTAATAAAACTGGTTTGAGAAAAAAAACCCTGTTCAATGGGAACCTCGTTGGTGGCATACATTATCAACCCAAAACTCAATAAAATATACATTTTTTTAAAAAGTACAGCGAGCGTACCCTCAGAAGCGGGGATGGCGAGGCCCGTCTCATGTTCTTTGGACATGTTACCAGGAGGGACTGGTCTGAGGAAGGCCCTCAGCCATATGGCTGCACAGTCCCAGGTACTGCAACATGGGGCTCAGACGCAGCGACCCTTGTCGGGGTGGTGGGGGGTGGGGGCATGCAGGACCGAACGGCCATGTTGAACCTGCAGCGGCCGTGAGCCTGATCCACCTGGGCAGCAGGGGACAACAGCAGCAAGCGGCAAGTTCTCTGTCCACATCCCCCATGGGAGGGAGACTCCGGTTACCACGGCACGGCACCCGGTGAACTGAGGCGAGTCGCACGCAGGGAAAGAGGCTACACGCACAGATCCAGCGTCTCCGCGGACACTTTATTTCCAGGACCAGATGCTTGAAAGGGAAGGGACAGGCCTTGAGCCTGAGGAAGGGAGCGTGGTGGACGTGGGTCATGTTGGCCACTGTCCCCAAAGTGGGTGTGTGGTCAGAGAAAGCGGATTCTGACTCCAGGA